GTATGTCATCACCGTCTTCAATGACAGATATTGCAGAAAACGTCGGCCCAGACTGCTTCATGTGACCAGCATGACGCTCAACATAATACAATATGCGTACGAAACATCCACACCATGCCCCTGGACTTGCCTCTACACGTGTCTGTTCCTGGTTCCTTGCAGATTGGCTGGAACGGTCCTATGAGGGAAGCAAGTTTGCGTGCTTTTTGTGCAAAGAAGCGGTGAAGTTGCAAAACATTGGCTCTGTGGCTCCGTTTCAAACCGCAACGACTCAAGTAACGCACAGCCAAACCCCGTCCACTTTCATTTGCTCCCTCCACACCACTTCGTCGTCTGCTCCGCTCGAGTGCCTGCGTGGTGGTGTCGTTTGGCAGCGCCACATGTAACGGGTTAGGACGGTTGAGGCCGCCAGGCCGCTGCCCCTGGCCTGGCGCCCCGCAACATCACTCTCGGTACGGGGTGAATTCGCTCTTCAAGCCAGTGCCAGAGAAGCATGGTATGATATTACTACCGAACCTGATCCCACTCATAAAGAAAAATGTCGTTATCCTTGCCGACATCCCAATAGAGCCACTGCCATAATACTGTCGTCGCGGACGGCCTTGCTAGACTAGGCTGCTTGGCCTTTGTCGGTTAGGAGAGAGGAGTATTAGAATGCTTACTGTATCACACTCTCCAGCCCGGTTTGGCAACCAAGGGGATCCTGGTAGCCGGAAACCCATGACGTCGAATAATACTGGCTCAACACGGACCATGCCATATTGGTATTACATACATTAAATTGTACGTACGGAGTACAAGATAATGGGTTTCTGAGAAAGCAATTCATGTCCGATCATTGCCCAGTTTTTGGTGCATTTCCCATTTAATACGAACGGGAACGTGTTGCATTATCGCCAATCCGAGAGCCGAGGCTTCGTATAAATCTCCTACGATTAGCTTTTAAAAATTACGACGATGGCTTCGTTCATCTGAACGGATATGTAGGCAGGTCGGTGAGCATAATGGTGGGGTGTTTCATGTCAAGCCAGAAGCCCGTAAATAAGAACCCTCTGCGTCGAAAATGTCCAACTTCGCGATTAATCCTAGCGTCAGGCACGTAAGGCTGATGGCCATGGGCGTGGTTCACTGAACAATGTGTTGTAGTTCATGGTTACCGGTTGCCGGCTTGTTGCAAGCCACCCCGTGTGCATGGATTAGTTGTTGCCGTGTGCATGGGTGCTTGGCGGTGCCTTGTTGTGGCGCTGAATTCATAATGCGCAAGGAGTATTCAATAGGAATGTACCAGGTGATGGGCTCCTTTAGTTAAGACGCTGTTGATCATGCACAGTCCAAAGAACTTGGATTGCTCGACAGACTGACTGGGAACCGACGGGCAAGCGACATTGCGAAACAGCCACGCCGATCTGGGCAAACTAAAACAAACGCACCAACGGGTTTGAGTTAGCCCACCACCGACGAGACAGCCGCGTCCAGTTTCTGTTATATGAAGGTTCTCAAGCCAGACTGACTGATGCTGAGAGGATGATGCTTCCATAGTCTTGCCGTAATGCTCGCGGCTGTTTGCGCCCATTGCGACCACTAGTATTGGCAGGACCGAGTAGCAGAAGTGTATTGTAGGTAGTTGCCGTGGAAGCTTCAGATGAAATCTTAGTGATTGGCTGATAGCATGGTTCCTTGGATTCTGGGGAGATGTTGCCCACCGGGGCAGGACGATGCCGTTTCACTTCTTTTGTCCAACGGCACCTCGGTGTGCAAGGACTTTGTTGTTTGGCCTACTCTATTTCACTGCCTAACTCGAGTTGAATCGGTAGTACAGCGGTGTTGGCGGTTAGCTCAGGGCTCGTTGCATTTTGGTGTCTGCTGCTGTCTCCTTTTTCTCGACCATCGTGCTGTATGTAAGTGGTTTGATTTTGCGTCGATTCTATCCTTACACGCTGAAGATGTATTGTACGGAGTTGGTTATTGCTAATGCACATAGCCCCTTCCCCATCCGATGTAAGCGTATAGCACTGTGGGTTTTTGGCGCGTTGACCAAGAGCGCATGTTTTTATGATGGCATGTCTGCGTTCGTGCGTTTGATAGATACTCGGAAATCTCCTGTTACCTGCATGTTCGTCCTCGATCAAGACCATCAATTTCAAGCTGACATGTAATAGCTTCGCCCACTTGTATTTGGGGGGGTTGGCCGAATTGCACCGAGACAACCGGGCGCTAGGTCAGCCTGAAGGACGATGGCTGGGCACAGGCCCAACATCGGATCTGACAGGTGAAGCACGTTGCAGCAAGCACCGTGAACGTATGTACATGTGTTGCTCCAAGCAGTTGTAACACAGCTTTTGACGGAGATATACATACATACGGAGCACACTACGGATTAGATAGAGACAGAGAAGCTGGTCTAAGAATAGGACAGGGAGAGACAATGTATCACACCTCGTAGTAGAGAGGTGCACCTGAACTAGCCTGAAAACGGGCGCCAATTATCTGGTGGATACGTACATGTCGTTTGGTGATTTTGGGCTCCACACATTTCAGATGGCGAGCTGGACACCAGACTTCTCTTGGCGTTTGCGGCCGCGTGCCTGGTTCCTGGCGAGGCTAACTTGGGAACGGCCGTCCTAGGGCTAGGCGGTGGTTAACTTGAGGGTGTGATGGTGGACTCTAGTGGGAAAGACCGACAAAGAGAGGGTGTCTGGGTTTCGCAGGTGTGGGTGGGCTGGCTTCAGCTGACCTGGACATAGAGGCTCAACGATTGCTGGAAGTCCCGTAGCACCCAGACGTCGGAGAAATACGCATCTCGTTCTTCCTGTGCATCTGTGCTGCACATGCGATGAATGCAGGCATAGAGCGCGTGAGGTGGCGATGGAAATCACAGGCATTATTGTTACCAATGCGGAAAAGAAAGGTGGGAAAGATGTGAGAGGGTGAGAGGGTGAGGGGAGGAGGCGCGAGACTTGATGCTCTGGACATGTGTGGACAAGTGTGGGCAGGGTTAAGCACCGCTCCTGCACATTGATCATCGTGTAGCGCTTGGCGCCTTCCGCGCTTTCGTGCTGGTGGTCAATGTCTGGCGGTGCGATGCAAATGCACAACCACACAGCTTGCAACTCGTAGTCTCCGCATTGTTCAATGTTCTCCAGCCTCTTGCATTTCTTCGAAACATGGCCTGACTAATGAATCCTCCGCCCAGAGCATTCGGGCCAAAGAGACAGCACAATAGGCTACTGTGCTAGTGTCGACGTTTCAAGTTTCCTCCGCGGCAGCTGAATGGCGAGCCCGTCAGGTACGGAGGAAGCACTGCCCAAATTCATGCGGCAGAGACACCTAACTTGCATGTCATGCAATAACACAGCGATGTGCTGTCAAGCTCTACGCCAATGCTCGAGTCCTCAATATTGGAGCACTCAGCAACTCGGACAAACCTGCAACCCAATGCCCAGCTCACCTGCTTGCCGGCTTACCACCTCGATATCTCTGCTCGACCCCTGGCCTCAACATCACATCGGAACCATGTGAGCAGGTCGTTTGGCGATGATTTGGTTGGACCAAGAACGATTGGGCCACTGAGCTGCCTGGTTTCCGCGCCACGTTTTCCTCCTCGAACCTATACTCCGTACAGTAGTACCGGCATCTGACCCAGGGCTGGAGCCGGACCTCCCTGCGACTGCTACGATGTCATTGACTATCATACATGAGCGAGCCGCCATTCCTCCGTAAAATGCATGGGCTGTGGAAAATTGATGCAGCGCAAAAATGCAGCCAGACTACGGCGTATTTTCTCTTGCCAATATCTTTGATGCTAAGCTCTCCACAAATGCCACCGCTGTTCCTTCTCCACCGGAAGAATAATGGCCTTCGTTCGTCTGTTACACCGAGATGAGGAGCTTGTTTGCTTTTGGAGCAAAGGCAACAAACACGGCCAAGACAAAGAAACAAAAGCACTATCCGTCATCAGTCTTAGAACGAGTCTTTGTGGCTGCCGTACGGAAGCCTACCTGCCACAACTATGCTGGAGCTGTTCTTTGATGCTCAGAGCATTGCATAGGCCGCCCATCGCCCACGATCCCCATTACGGTTGTTCTCGCCGGTGTACGGACATCTTACGGCACCAAGCGGCACGGAGCCTTTGCTTGCTTTTCCGTCCGCCAATGCCGTACTAGTACTACTTGGTCTGGCTACGTGGGAGAGGGCTCATGATGCTTCTTACACACCCCTGTTCAGAATGCCCTCTGCCTAGCTCGCACACGCCCCTGTCTTGGAACCACCCACTCTCCCCACCGTGAACATCCTGGTTCTGTAGCTCACACGGACATCGAGAGCGAGCGGTGGTGGTGCATGCATGGTTGAGTGCATCTGTATATAGTATCTCGATCTCCCCTCTTGCTCTTTCCAGGTTGCTACTCTAACCTGCTGCCGCAGGGCATCTGTGCCTGGTCATATTGCGCAATAGTTTCTTATCAGTTCATCTGGTGGGCTGTTTCGAGGAGCAGTTCTTACCTTTTCATCGAACACATGTTGTAAGTTATTTATTACAGCTGAACCGTGACAATGGGTGTCTTAATCATGTAGATCGTCCCAGCCCTTTTGAGGGTTTGGAGGTCTTTCTTTGTGTTGGCCATGGGTTCTAACCACCTCGCCGTTTTAGGTCTCGATACTTATATTTTGCCATATATACATAAAGTCGCCGAGGGTTGTCTCGTCTTACCGCTTCTGTGGCTGGCGCCAGCTAAACTACGTGTATATTCACCCGTAGATTACGATCGCTACTTTTTATGAAACACAGTCAGCTGCCTACTTCTCAACCGGGGACCTCTCGTTACTAGGATTTCATTCATTCTTTTCTCCTTTTACTTTCTTGTTAGCACAAGGAGGGCGCACTCTATGGCCGTATAGTCGGACTGGCTCGGATCGGGCTTAGATTTAGCAAAACGGCAACTCGCTACGAATAGGTTGTCCCTATTAACTGACCAACTACGGCCGGGTCCCCAACAGACAAGATGGAGGACGGGCTCGCCACTCAAAACCTCATTATTATCCTAGCGACGATCATCCCCTCATTTATGCTCATCGCCCTTGCTGCCCTTCTGTACTATCGAACCCGTCGACGCAAAGCTCGATTATTCAACCGAGGCATCACACCCATCGACGATGAAGAGATAGAGTCGTGGAAAGTTGACAGAGGGGGTAGTGAAAAACCGTGTATGCAAGAGGAATCCCAGAAAGACCAATCAAGTCCAAGCAGTCACCGCACCCATCGACCAAGCACGTCGGTTGGGTCCGTTCAAAAGCCGACGAGTTTGATCGTTTATCAGAGTTCTTCCCAACATATTTCACGCATGTCGGAAGACCGGCCGATGGCAATGTATTTGTCGGGCAAAGGCAGCCTTGAGTTGCCGCAAATTCCTGTTCTTGCCAGAGCGCCGAATTCTAGACCCGGCCTCACCGATGATACAGTTCAAGGGGAAGATGCATTCATTTCCTACCCAAAACGTTACCCATCAAGGCTAGCGAAAGCGCCACCGCTTATATCTCCTCGACACGGCCGATCCAAAAGTACACGGGCTACTGTGTCCCCCCGTGAGCCCTGGTATAGCCAAAGCCAAGATGATCAACTACCTCCACGACGATCTGCCGACACATTCCTGCGTATCTTGCCTTCAGGTCGCCGAGAAAGTGATGGTGTGTATTCGTCTCACTCAACTCCTCCGCAAACGCCGGGTGAGGACGACATCTTCCTTGGCGGCCTCTCGCCTCGTCCTGTGATTCACAAATCAGAGATTGGGCGGGCTATTGGCTGAACGATACAATGCGAGAGGCTATAGCAGCCCACAAAATCTCTACTCTTCTTTCTTGTCTTGTCAGAAAACAATGGTAAACAGCATGGCATGTGCCTGCTGATCCAACTTGAAACCCTTGTCCCATGTTCCAACTACCTGCTGGATCGGGAGTGTGGGTTGAGTTGGGTGGAGAGGGATCAATGGCCGTTTCACGACTGACAAGGATACAATGACGGCAAATGATACGAAGTTGTTCGGCTATCTCGCTTGCCAAAGTCGTTGAGATATCATTGTCGGTGTAATTCAAGATGCCGTGTCTGAACCTGCTGCCTAAGTCTTTTATGACAGGCACCCGGGGATGATTTGGTATGACATGACAGTTTCTGAGCTTCTACAATCCAATCTTTCATTCCATGGGATAAATGGATTTGTTATTGCAACCATCTTATAACTACATATTGTAGGATTAGGATGGATATACCCAAATGCGTTCTTGTGTAACAGCAACCATGGGTACATGTACATACATACATAAGACTGACGGATTCGATATGCCCCGGTACAGCGTTTCTGGAGCCCAGGAGGCTTAGCCAGCTCGCTGGCTCATTAGTTACAGATGAATATGAAATACATGACGAAATTGCGTTGAATTTACGGAACCAGTTTGTTTATGAATGTGGATGTCAATAAATGATGAAATTACACGCCATGACAAAGGGGGACCTCGCCGTGGTACCGAATATGGCTAATATGGACCTTGTTGGCCCTTAAACCGGGGGAGTTGTCAACCAAGGTTATTGTTCTATGCGAAAGGGCTGGAAGTTTGGTCCGTGGCGAAGGACCCTGGTACAAAAATTGACATGGGTTTTCGCCATGAGATTGTGTAGCAAGTCTGTTGGAATTGTGACCACGGGGCCATCTATCACATCTGACAGGCAATGCAGAAGGATCAAAGAATCTTCTCTGCATCCCTGCATGGGCCTCGGAGCCTGCTTGAAGCGCGAACCGGCCGTCATTGTTGCTGCATTTCATGGAGGATGGACCTGTCCAATTCCAGCGAGCTTTGTTTGCAGACGGGTTTCAAGTAACATGCAAAGTAAAGTAAATGAATGTAGCATCATCGGGACAAAGATTTCCAAATCCAATAAAATGGAAGATCAAGATAAAGAGGATGTCCGTCTCGACTCTCAAGCAACCGACCCCAGCAAAGTGAAAAGCCACTTTACGCGCATCATCTGGTGGGGCACGCGTTCGAGTCGCGGCTCGCCACGACCTTGATCACTCAGTCCCTCAATCTTTCAACCAATCCATTGCGACACGGCGCATTGCTTCATCCCCTCCTCCCATCGCAGAGTCACAAGGACAGTCGAAAACTCACTGGCACTGTGTAGACAGATATACGCGGCTGACAGGAGACGACATCGACGCCAAACCAGATGTAGCCCCGCGTCAAAACACACATCATCTCATCGTTTATCCGCCGCCCACTCAACACTCATTCAGGATAGAACAAAGATAAACCGCGATACCGCACTTCTCCCGCCTCGCCCACAAGCACACACACGGCCATGCCGGCTCGAAAATCAGACCAGCCTCGCAAAAGCGATGTCCTCGTCCCCGACGACAGCACCCTGGCCACCGGCCCAGCAGATGAATCACAAGGAGCCGCTTCCGTACCAGAAAAGACCCCCAAGGACAAGGACAAAGAGAAGGACACCACCACAATCGAAGTACGCTCACTCTCCTCCGCCAAATGGAAGCAAAGCAAGGGGGGTGGAAGCAGGGAAATCACCGTTCAAACCGCTAAAGTAATACAGGACCTCACGCTGCCCAAGTCAATAATCACTAGACTCGCAAAGGGCGTATTACCACCCAACACGCAGATCCAGGCCAATGCCATCCTAGCCATGAGCAAGAGCGCCACCGTATTCATCAGCTACCTCGCTTCACAGTAAGGCCTGCGCATTGTCTCAATGCCCAAACGAAAAGAGAAAAAAAAAAGAGTAAAAAAGGGGGTGGTGGAAAGGAGTTTGCTAACACGGAAGCAGTGCCAACGAAAACACAGTGAATGCGGGTAAAAAGACCGTCGCACCCGCAGATGTCTTCAAGGCGCTGGACGACGTCGAGTTTTCCTTCTTGAAGGGGCCTCTCGAGGCCGAATTTGCCAGTACGTCGTCGTCTGCCGTGGGGGACGAAATTCGCCCCGGCCGACAGACTAATAATTGTTCCCTGGTTGCGAAGTTGTGTCCCGTGTGGCTAACCGGTCGTGCGTAGGGTTCAGCCAGATCCAGACGGAGAAACGCACAAATTACCGCCAGAAAGCGCGTGCCAAGCACGACGGCACCGGGGGCGACGACACGGAGATGGCGGACACGACGACGGCCGCGGATGCGACGGCGGCTTCGGGGACGGCGGGCGGTGCGCCGCGCGCGAAGAAGGCGCGCGTTGATCCTGGGGAGGTGGGTGATGATGGTGATGAGGAGGAGGATGCTGAGACGGAGGAGGAGGCAGAAGTCCATGAGGAGGACGATGACGACGACGACGAGCAGGTAGATGAGGAGGAGGAGGGGGAGGGGGAGGAAGGAGCGGAAGACGCGAATGGGAGCGGCGGAGAGACGCAGGACGTGTTGGAAGAGAGGACTGTAAGTGAAGACAGGGACGAGGCGTTGGACGGAGACGAGAGCGATTAATTCCACTGATGGCATGTACGGCGATGACACATCCGATCTTGGATTTTGCAAATTTACGTGCCATTGGGCGAAGCTCATTCACAATCATTACGTTGGCACCATGGTCGAGCTTCCGCCTTGTGCAATGACAATACGGACTTGACGCCTCGAGACACGGCATGTGGACGTATGAGCATGAAATTTGGAAAGCAAACTTCCCTACAATTCCATATACATAGCGAAGCAAAGTACATCAACAATCGATACCCATTCGCCTAACCAGGCAATCCCACGCTCCATCTGATGCACGTAATAGTACGGACAAGACGAAGGACAAAAAGCCTTGCAACGAAAAACGAGAAAAAGAAATCAAAATCATTCAACACAAGACCAAACCAGCAGTAAATCCAAAGCCCATCCATCTCGGGTATTACACGTCCCCACCAGTCCATAATCCAAAACCAGCCGGAGAAAATTCACAAAGACAGTTGCTAAAAAAGGTCAAGAAAAAAGACAAAACATGGTAACGGGGGGGAAACAAAGGGGAAAGTGGCAAAATGACACGGAAACTTGGCACCTCTGCGTGATAACATTGTCGGACGTCATCCATTCATCTGTAAATAAAAGCCATTTTGCTCGTTCCGCATGGGAATAACTCTGACGAGTGGCATTCGCTCGGAATCAACTCCCGTCCAGATGGACTTTCGCTCCATCAACAAAAACATCAAATTCGACAATAGCGCGCCAGTTCTGAAGCCAGACCACAAAGATCAGGTTGTACCCTGGGTTCATATAGTCGAGCAGTCATCTCAAAGAAAAAAAAAAGTTAGGATGACAATAGACCCTCTCTATCAGTCGTTTGCGGAGCTTAGAGCCTAGTAATGTTGACTTGTCCACAGAAATGACGATACTTATATTCTGAGAAGCGACTAGCCAGATTGTACGCAAAAGGTGTAGGGAAACCAGTCACGTCGACTTGCATCAGAGCAACGATGCGGATCACCCAAATGTGAAATGGTTATGCAGCATAGCCGGCTAACATCCTTTGTTCCAGCGAAAGGTCAAGGTCGTTAAAGAAAAAGAAAAAAAGAAAAAAAAAAGACCATGGTGTGGTGGCCATGAATGAACGTCGCGCTGAGATATTGTCGTGAGATATCGAAGCTTAGTCGAACCAATTGTGAAAATAAAGACACATATGAAGATTGAGAATGAAGAAGAAAATAAAAAGATGAGGAGAAGTAAGTGTTCCAGCCGCCCGACTCCTCTATCCAATCCCGGCCAAATGCTATACACAATTTCGAAGGGCTACAAGCCCCAAAGCACATAGCCTCCCTAACTGGTCTGTATGCTTGGGTATCCAGGAATGCTGCGGGAGTACAGTCCAATATATAAAAACCAACAGACTAGACAAAACAAAGAGCAAATAGCATGAGACGGCGCCAACATGCTTCACAATCGACAAAGAGAGACCAGGAGCAGGCGTTAAGGTCGTCAAGTATCAACCAGCCGCTGGTAAATGAACATCCCAAAAATGAATCAGACTAGAAAAGCTTGCTCTACTGAGGCTGCTGCTGCGGCGTCCACCACTGAGGAGGTGGTGAGTGCTGGCCAGACCAAGATTGAGAGACTTGCGGCGCTCCGGGTGTGCTTTGAGCCATGTACTGTCGTGGGGTTTGGTCCGCCGGATACATGCCTTGGCTTGCGCCATATTGCATACTACCCATGCCTGGGAATGGCATGTTTGGTTGCAGTTGCCCTGCACTTGGCTGGCGTAGGTGCGAGGCTGGGGACTGGGATGGGTGAGGCGCCTGGGATTGCGTGGTATAGCTGGGATAGCCGCTATGATGCGGAGTTTGCGTGTTCTGCGACCACATGGCCTGGTTGGGCTGATAATTGTAACCACCGGGGGCGGCTTGGCTCATGCTACCGCCGCCTGTAGATCCTGAAAATGCTCTTGTTAGCCCTTCACTGCTCCCTCACAGGGACTTGTCAATCAATCAACGCCTCTCCAGAGAGGCTTGGGGCAAAGGGGGTCTGACCAAGTTGGTTTTGGGCGTGAATCGGCTGCGAGTATGGGGCCGCAGTCATCAGCATCTGAGGGCTCTGGGATGACACAACGGGTTGCGCAACGCCAGCAGCAGCAACAGTATGCGGTGAGCTTGATGGTCGTGTGGTTGCGGCCGCGGCATCGGTAGCACCGACGGTCGGGTTCAGGGAAGAGGTAACCGGCTGCTCATGAGGACGGCGCCAGATGCCCTGTAAATAATCACCGCGCATATCACGTTGCTGGTTAACGGATCGGCTGAACTCGGCGGCATGATGCGCCTGTGAATGGATCTCTCCAATTGGCGATGGCCTGGTCTGGTCCTGATAGGCTGGGCCGGTAATCTCCTGGCGAGGGCCGCCCTTGATAATATTACTGAAGTCCCTAGGGCGAGTGTCGCCTAACTCTGGCCCGACTGTTAATCCAGGCATTCTTCCAATGTTTCCAGGTGGCGCTCCCATCATACCTGTTTGGACTAGATGTGTCGGCGGAGCACCAGGATAGGGTCCGGGGGTATTGTTGTAGACAATCTCGGTGTGAGGACCGCTCATGAGGAGGTTATTCTGGGCCTCGGCCGCCTCTCGGGCCTTGGCGGCACCTGGTCTCTTCTCTCCGGCCAGATCTGCCTCGGTGAATCCCTGCTTACGGGCCTTGGTCTCCCAGTAGTCATCCCGGACGCGGCGGCCATTCTCAATAACGCGACTCCCAAACTGTCTAAACATGGACCGAGCAGTCACAATGGCAATCTGTCTCGAGCGGTACGAAAATGGCAATATCTCCTGCTGGACAAGGTCATCCTTTTCGGCCTGGCTGGCGATGATTTTGAAGAGGGACCTGTTCTTGTTGAACAACAGGTAAGAATCACGGTATCCAAGTACCCGGGCACACTCGGTCGCAAGCATGAAGAGTTTGTCGCCTCGGTTGGGCACCAGAAAGGTCCGGCACCGGTAGGTTCGGTTGCCCAGAAGCTGGCCGTTGGGCATCACCTTTTTCTCGCCAAACTCATCGATTTCTCTTGGCAGGTACTCGTCGCCAGCTGGGTTCAATTGGTCGGTAGTATGGTCTCTCACGGTGGGCAGGGCCTTGACTGTGGACTTGGTCGGAGTCGTCTTGGGGGGCGCCCCGGCGGGAGTCGTGGCATAGGCGGGAGTCGTCTGGCTCGGCAACGTAGAGCTTTGAGACTGGGGAGTCTGCGGCGGCGCACCAGCCTGCGCAACCCCGGGGGCGGGCGGCTGCCCAGGAGCGTCGGATGGCTTCATTTGCTTGATTCGCTTCGGATGAGGCGGGGAACTGGCTGTGATGCAAAAACATGAGTGGTTAGCCTCGTATGCGTCGTCTGTATTGTGCTGCAAAGCGCCAAATCATGAAGAAACAAATATAAATAAAATGAGAACACAAAATGCCAGGCTTCTCGTCATCGCTCCGTCTACGGTCACTTCTGGGTCCTTTGCGTATCGTAACACGGCCGTGTATTGAGCTTCGGAGAATGGATTGTGGCGCACCGCGGCCCTGCGCGCGCACCGTACCCCAGGCAGGACAAGGCAAACGTCAAGTTGGGTGAAACCCTGCCACGACATACCGTCATCGCCGGGCTGCAGGATGTTGTGAGAATCCGAGGACCGGCTCCGCTTGAGGCCGCGAAGCGGCGTGTTAGATAGGGCTGTTAAGCAACAAGAGTCAGCATTGCGACACGGAACAGAAGGGCCTCCGGGCCAAGTTGCGCGAACGTCAAATAAGTCGCAGTTCGTGTCGCGCACGCGCAAGCTCAGGAGTCTCGGGAGAGGCCCACGGCGACGGCTTGGGCCGTGGTCAGTCCGAGTGGTACGAGCTGGCAAGCTCCCACGAAGCTCAAAATGGCGTCGCGACAGCCGGCCATGGCTAGAATGTTGGCAACAAGGAAAAGAACAAACTCACCGGGGGAACTCAGAGCGGCAGGATTGATGGTGGCACTATCAGCGCTGTTTGGCTGCGCGGAGTACATGACAGATGGGCCAAGCCAGCAATAGCATCGACGACAGCGGCAACGACGGCGACGATGACGATGGCGGCGACGTGTCGTGAAGCAGTTGGGCTAGGAGGAGCTCAAGCGTGGAGAGGGTGCGGCAGAACAGCGTTAACCGTGCAGGTGGCCGGCGGGGAGTGGGCGCGGGAACGTGAACTCGAGCAACCCAGACCAAGTTGGCCTTGCCGAGACCAGACTCGGGCTGTACCCCCAGCAGCGTCGACGGCGGGAGAGGTACCTGGCAGGTACCTGGCGCATACAGGCCCTCGGACGCAGGGCCCCCGGAGCAAAGGTGACGGCAGCAGCTTTGAACGCCCATAGGCCGTCGCAGCGGCGGAGGGAACCGGATATAGCGTTAGGCGGTGCCAGGCCATGTACCGCATGTACAATGTCTGGTACCGCACACACGGAGGAATACGTACCAGCTTGACGGCACAGACCGGCGGCCTTGCACGAGGCGCGCGACCTAAACCTGGACCCAGAGAAAGAAGGACGAGCAGTGGAGCGCTTTGCCAGATGACGGAGGGCTCCTTCCACAGGCCCAGAGAGGCTCACGCGCCCCGCAAAAACACGAGCTGCAAAAAGACGAGAAACAAGGCAAGAAACAAGAGCTTTGGAACGGCGGCCGAAAAGGAAAAAAAAAACAGTCAACAGCTTGGGATGGTTTTACCTTTGAATAAGGCGCAGGCGCGAGAGCGCGCGTGTGCGACAGCGATGGCGACGGCCGCGGGTGCGCAAAGCAGACGGACGGGTTGACGAGCAATAAGTGCCAAACTCGGCGCTCGTCGTCCTCGCTTGCAACTGGCACTGCGACAACCGGCTTGCGACGACTTGCGAGTTGCAGTCGCAAAAGACGACGGCGATGAGATGAGCGCGACTCGAGCAAGCGGCGTGTGGACCAGGAACGCAGGCGGTTTCCAGATGCGCGCGCGACTGACAAACTGATTGATGGAATCCTCGATAGACGTGAGCGCTCGGCACTGCGTACGAGAAACAAGTGATCGCTGGGGCCGTGGCCGGGAGTGGGCGCGAGACCGTGAAGGTGGTGGTGGTGGTGGTGGTGTTGCAAGTGGGTGGTGGTGCAGGTGGAGGAGGAGGGATGCGAACGAGGGTACAGAATAGCGGCAGCGGGCTGGAGTGGTGTCGTATTAAGCAAGTCGACGGGTAGCAGTGGAGGTGACAGATGGGGAGTTGCAGGAGGAGGGGGAACGGCTGCAAGGCGGACAGAAAAAGACCCCGGGCCAGAGAAAGCCGGGCAGAGAGGCAAGAGGGCAGAGGCAGAGGCAGAGGCAGAGGCAGGCGAAGCCGCAGCAGAAGCCTGGATGGAATACGGAGTACTCCGTACTTTATGCCAATGCCGGGCCTGCGGACAAATATGGGCACTGACTGGCCTGGTGTTTCCTTGGCCCCTTCGGCCTGCACATGTGGCCTCTCTTGGTCTTGGTCTTGGTCCTGGTCCTGGTCCTTGGACGTGGCCTTGGCGGCCGTCGTGCCCGGGGCGTGGTGCTTGGTGCTTGGTGCTTGGTGCTTACCAACATCTAGAACTTACTTCTTGTTTGTGCAAGCTGCCACTTTTTTCCACTGCGCTTCTCGTAGCGTCTCTCGAGAGTCTTTGCTCTGCACCTTTGCACAAATGTACCGAGTTATTGCACAATGAGTTAGAGCACCGCGCACGGAAACGATAAAGGATGGGCGGATATCGTCCAAACGTGCAAGGGAGGCAGATGACGAAGGGTGGTTGGCTGAGATGGCGCGGTCTGGGGGAGCTAAAAGAAGAGCCTTGGCGGGGCCAACGACTTGATGTCGGCGATGGCGCCAGGGAGCCAGGCGCAGGGAGGGAGATTGAGCAGCACCAGACTCGAGCGCACCTGTTGAAGCACTTGACTTGAATTGTTCTGGCAGGTTTGCCCAGGGAGGCGCCCACCGGGTGGCATGCTTGTCCCAGAGCAGCTAGAGCGTCCTGGAGCAGGAGGTTGTGTGTACATGGGTGCTCCCGGCACGTACCTCTATGCCTACGCCGTGTGTCCATGTACTCCGTACTTAAAGAACTTTGCCAAGCTGGGGTCAGTTCCTCGTCCGCCTGTCGCCGCGCCTCCTCCAGCTGGCAATATCTTCCGATGGGCGTGCGGCCAACTGGAAAAAAAGTGGGCGTCCAGCTGTCCAGGAGTACGGAGCACAATACGTCCCCAAATGTCCAGATGTCCAGATGTCTAGATGTTGCGTTGAACGGTGAAGCGGCTGCTAGTCCATGTGGATTCTGGCTAATGCCATATGTAGCAAGGTAGCCGAAATGTAAGTCAGTCCGCAAGTCAGACAAGGCATGCGCAAGGGTTGGAGAACGACGCCATCTTTAGATGCATACCTGGGCCTGGCGCTCAAGTACAACATATTGGTACGTCGACTGCTACTGTGCATGCCGCGTACTTACATGTACCGTGGCTTTGGGCCATCTGGCGGCCATGACGGAGTGGGCGTGCGGGCAATGCCAGAGAAACTTGTGCTTCAGTCAGCATCCATCTACAGAGTAAGTATGTACCCCAAACGCTGTCGTTGGCGTCGTTGTCGTCTGGTAAAGTTCCTGGCGACCCTGTCCGTTCAAGTCTGCTGTATTATCCGCGATACGTGCCCCCTCCCGTTCTCACTCATCACACATCGCGGCAAGTGGTTGCGCGCTAGTAACCTAAGTAGTATCTGGTTCAGGCTCAGGAAGAAGTACATACTACTAGTACTCCGTACCACTAGTAAAAACGAAACTTGGGGGTGGGGCTGCGCCCATCAACCCACTGGCCAAGAAGATCGGACCGGCCATGTAAAAGGATAGAACCCAAAGTACGACACTCTTCTCATTCTCACGCGAGAACAGCTGCAGCCAGTCTGCATGTCGGACTCGCGACATGGGGAAACGCAACCCCTGGGCGTTTGGAGGGGAGCATTATGATACAAACATACATACACCGTTGTCTCGTGGCCTAGTTTGGGACTTGAAAGGAGGGGGACAAGAATAGCTTACAAGAATCAAGCATCTCTCGTCCCGGCCTGTAGTTCGGCCAATGACTGGATAGCCTTTGCCGTCTACTTACGTGCCCAACGAGGAGGAGAGTTCAGTTCTCGTTTGGTTGTTTGGTTGAACAAAGGGAGGGGAAAGAAAGCGAGCCAAGCTGGGGGCTGAAATCGAGGATAGCCTTACAAGATGCCGTCAACCCATGTCCCTTGAGTCGAACTGCACCTCGGCCATGTTATCCACAAGCATACGCATCTTCTTGGAGCAATACGGCAATGGCTCCATGACTTTTGGCCCGACTGGGCGGTTTCTAGCTGGTTGACATTGGATATACTGGATGTAATCCTGCTTGCTGAAGTCTCCTGTTCCTTTCCTGGACAGCTCGTGCAGCTTCGGGGCTACTACCTAGCATCAAGAGACAGGCGAGTGGCGAGGGGGCCCAAGGGTGCTTGTGGAGCTACGATACCTTTAATCGCCAGGTTATCCACTGATTGACGGACATACAACGATAGCTGCTGGCAGTTTTGGAACGTCGCATCGCCAAGTTGCCAGGCATAATGTGTCGGCCAGCCTGGAAAGAGGACAGACAAAATGCAAACGGCTGACTGACCCGTGCATTATTTGGAGGTACAGCTAGAAAGGTCCCCTCGTCAATAAACGAACATTGAATACTAACAGCTGCGGAGTTGTCAACAACTGCATGCTAGTCAGCTAGCGGACCGGATTGAGGTGGGGATGTGACGCTGGTCTGATGAAGGGCTTACGCTGCCTGAATAATATGCTGAGGAAGACTATGTTTGCTGACCATGCACTTCTTGTCGGTCTTCGACTCTTCGGTACATGACGTCTCCGACTCGCAAGAGTCTTACAACGTCGACACTGCTAGAGGCCTCAGTCGTTGCATACCAAAGGATGGCTGTTATAGCTGTTCATACGGAGTACAAAAGACGATCTGGATTTGCCTCTTGCGAAGTTTCCAATCCGACACTCGCTGACGTGCAGAATTCAGGGCGAATCGCGCAACTCAGAGACATGGTTAGATGAAAGAAAGGACGTGCGTAACTCAAGAGAGCCCGGGACTTCTCGCGCCGGTCTTACTAGTATTACTACTTGTCATGCATGTATCAAAGAACGCTTGGGGTAATATCGAGCATGATTACGGTTCCTCCACAAAGATCATAGCAACAGCCCTGTAGCACTGCGAGAGAAAAAAAAAAGAACCCAGGCATTTTGCCATCTAAAGAACAGCCAGCTGAGGCAAGGACGAGTCGTTGCTCTTGCCAAACGCGACAGCTTCTCAAGGCACAAAGGCCGGCAGGTCCAACCAAGGTCGGCTGATTGGAGCAGGTGCACAAACGTGCGGATTCTCCGCTCGTCGTACGGAGTAAACTCAGCTGGAATCAGACGAGTCATAATCATCAGGCTCATGCTCTTCGCCGGACGGACGGCGTGTGCAATGAACGCACTCCATATCGATCAAAAGTCTATTTCAAATTCACCTGAGAGGCTTTGACCTTTAGTGATTTGGCCGTGCCCCCGGGGGTGGCTCATCTGGTTTGTGACGGAGAGACGGCCTGGTGCATACCTAGGTAAGTTGACCGAGACTTGGATTATTGAAGGAAACAATTTCACAGCCCGCCATTCCAGACGTCGGATAATACATGCCATTTAACTCTACGGCGCCATTTATTTTGAGCACAAGTACCAAAACCCAAGGCCTCTACCCTGGTCCATCTATCAAAGCTGACGAGCACAAACCCGACGTTTCCGCTGCGCCAGACGTATAGCCTAGACGAAGGATGCACTCCCCCAAACATCCATCGCTATGTGTGCCAAAAGAAGCGGGTAAGATTGAAAGAAAGATAATATTTCCGTCTAAAGTACACACCAAGGTGTCCCGCCATCCTTTAACAGAGAGGGTTTCCGAAATCCCGGTACGACCATGGCGCGGTATCTCGGGGTCCTGCCGCAATACCAG